ATTAAGAGCTTAGAACATCCGGAGGAAATGCATTTTTTGTCTGGAGAATTTATTTAAGCTGAGCATTTACCTTGGAGTATTCAATTCATTTGAGAAAGGTAAAGTGGGCGAGAGATCACATGGTCCAATCGGAAGCTTGGAAATGTAAATTTTTCAGAGAAGTCGAAGCGATTCACTAATACAATATTTTATAACTTTTTCGTAAAACATGCACAAAGTCCATTTGGCTATGCCTGTATTTAAAGTCCTTACTTATAAAACATAGTCCAATCTTTGCAGAGTGCAAATTTTACGTGCACAAATATTAAATAAAAAAATGAAAAGAGAAAATATTTACACTATATACACATTCACCACTTTGGATTATGATGAATGGAGCGTGGTCGCTTGACTTTACTTTCTATAGTTGGGTCGTAGTTTGCAAGATTTTTGATGGCTTCATTTGGAGAATTGTTAATGCTATTGAAAAAATTATGTGCAGTGATAAGGATTTGATACTGGATCACCGGGATTTTTAAATCTTCGTATATAATTGTGTTTCTCACGAACCATGGAGCATTAGTAATAGCGCGCAAAACTTTATTTTGCAGGATACTGATTTTTCTTCGACTTGTTTTACTTGCAGCTGCCTATGCCGGAACGACATACAGTAAGATAGGATGTATTAGGGTCAAATAAAGCATACATTTCATTCTTAAGTTCAGTTTGGAATTACGTCCTATTAACGCATAAATCGCCATAAATGCAGCATTGGCTTTATTTGTGACGTAATTAATATGCTCTTGAAATTTGAGTTGGCTATCAATGTGAACTCCTAGACATTTGTATGAATTTGCCGTCAGGATAGGAGTATTGTTAATTTGAATATCAATATCCACGGGGAAGAATTTTTTGTAGCGTCTGTAAAGTACTATGCAGCATTTGGCAGGATTCAGTTTGATCTTCCAGATTTTATACCAATATTCTATTATTTTTACATGTTGCCGCAGCTTATCAATTGTTTGCTGTGGGTTGAGAGAATTTGTTAAAATTACAGTGTCATCCACGTACTTCGCGGATTTTTGAGTTTAGTGTGATTCAGCTCAGCATCTATCATTACAAAACTTTAGAGTCCACTACTGGCGACGACGTATCATGAAATTGACCACTAAAAATATTTCGCCAAATTTTGTCTTGCTTCTATCGCACGCTAAAGTAGTTAAGCTTGAATTATATTAGTTTAGTCATTTATTATACTTATCATTATATTCTGCACATGCTTAAAGTATAATCTAGTCCCTAATCAATTCCCACATATATTTAAGGCTTACCCAGAGCTAGCTCTGATCCTCCCTAAATTCTAAAAATTTTGCGTCCCAATATCTTCCCTAAATTCTAAAAATTTTACCTTCCTTTCATTTTCCTGCTTGGTGTTTCTCTAAATTCTAAAAATGTTGCTTCCCCTAAATTATGCCGCCCGTACGGCCAGACCAGCTCTGCCACCACTCTTGGACTTAATACCAAATCGATTATTCTCAATTCAAACACTACTACACATAATCTTTTGGCCTATGAATGCCATTTAAAAAATCTACTTTTTGTATCTGGAAAGAAATATCTGTTAAATTTTTCCTTGTCGACACATTCAACAGTTCGCGGTGGAGTTAGCTGAACTCTGCAATTATCGCGAAACATAATGTCAACATAAAAAGTTACCATGCTCTTTGGTATTCAATTAATAATATTAAAAATAAAAAAGGATTGTTTCTTTGGTATTCAATTACTAATATTAAAAATAAAAAAGATTATTAAGACATCGCTGTGTGAATCATTTCTCAAGGTACACTGCGTTGATAATCATGTGGGGATGAAAGCAAAAAGTAATAATGATTCGACAGGTCACCATCGGTGCCAAAGTAAAACTGAGAATCAGGACTCTCTGCATGTCTTATTATGAAAAAGTTTTAAAATATATATATATAATAAATAATTTTTTTTTAAAAAAAAAAGGTTGCTGGTGAAGTTGTTCGGGTATAACAAAAAGTTGTTCGGATATTAAATGTTTGAATTTCGGACTGCGTACAATATTCAGTATTCACTTTATCAGGTTAGCTTAACATGAATCAGTTCAATAAATATACTTGTCTATCATTGTCACTTTTTACACTTCTTTAACTATTTTTATTCCTTACAACAAAATACACTCCATGAATAAAAAATCTATCTAAAATGAGTTTTCCTTCATTATATTACAGTCACGGGCTTTATTTATGTCAGAAAATAACATGAAATTAATGTTAAGATGTACTATTATATGCTTGAAAGAGTTTTTTTCATTTCCATTTCTAGTTTAACGTAACATTAAAAAATTACCATTGATAGTTTATGTTGGATTCGCTTTCCATGAAACAAACTGGCAGCTTGAGTTTTTGTCCTTTTTCTGTTACATGCGAAAAAAGTCAATTTCCCACTCAATGAAAAGACATCCTTTCTATGGTAGATAGCTGCTGCATGTTTTCCTACAGTAAAGTAGCTATTCAACAAAATGATAAAAAGTTGAGCTGCTTCTTCAAAGTAATAGAAGATGCCATTTTTTTATTAAAAAATCTGATATGGACCACATGATGTTCTTGTACAGCCTATTAAATTATACACGTTTTTTGCTGCACTTCATTTAAACTTATTTCCTTGAATTATTCGAACTTAGTTAAACCGATTCCACAAGGCAAATTGAAAATGACATAAAAAATTCTAAATTTTTAAATTAAATACCTTGGTCAATTTTTATCGTACAGGAGCCAAACTTCTTATAATTTTATTTTTTCATAACGAATATAAAACTTTGGCAAATATAAGTACAGGAACCGGGAGACAGCATTAAAAGTTAGATTTCACTATTTGTCGAAACTATTTTTTTTTATTTGAATTTGCCAAAACATGATTACTTTCTTCATTTTAAACTCTTCTGTACTTGGAAATACACTGGTGTGTAAAACTTAAGCAACAGGTGTTCTTTTTGCCATAAGTCCACGAGAAATCTTCCGAGTGACATGAAATTCAGAAATGTGAGACAGGAGTCTTGTATTTAAACGATGACGAAACCATGGGTGCACAAAAATGAATACAATGCAAACAGTATGGAATCAAACAAAAAAAAAAGGCTTTATTAACTCATAGTATTGTTACATATGACTGTCTGTACAAGAGGAAGAACAACAAGCAGATATTCCTTAGCATGGGATATGCCCTACCATTACTGCAATGGTTGCTTGGCACTGCCTCTCCATACTCAGCACCAGACTGTCCAACAGATCTTGAGGTAAGAGTGCCCATTCCTCAATCACCATCTGTTTCCGTTGTTCGGTGTTCCCGGAGAATGTAATCTTGCCGCAAGCCATCTCCCCAAAGCATCCCACACATGTTCTATTGGATTTAAATCAGGGAAGTACGCTGGCGAATCCTTTTGAGTGATATCTTCACTTTTCGGTAGCTTCTGAACAGCAGGAGTCCTGTGTAGCTGTGCATTGTCATCCATAAAATCGGTCTGCTCCAATGGCACCACAGAATAGACGTGTATGGGGAAGGATCACCTCCTGACAATAGCGATCTCCGGTTACAGAAACTCTGTCATAAATAGGGAGCTCTGTGCGCCCGTTCAGCATAATGCCTCCCCAGATGAAATCTCCAGGACCACCATAACGGTCTCTTTCTGTGATGTTACTGGAATGAAACCATCCTGGGAACGTGGAATGAAACCAACCTCTCTCCAAATCAGCTGGCGTTGAGAATCGTTTGTGGCACTCATCCATAAAGAGGACACTACTCCATTGATGAGATGCACAATTTTCGTGCTCCTTGCATTATTCTAAACGATTTCGTCGATGGCCAACGTTCAAAGGGATGTAGCATACAGGATGGCGGGCGAATAGGCTACCTTTGTGAAGGCGTCTAGATACAATAAACCATGACACTTGTCACCTCGTTGCTCTATACAGTTGTTGAGCTATGGCGCTTGCAGACTGGTTTTGCACTCTTTTTACCTGCAGGAAAATATATTGGTCATCCACTGCAGTTGTTTTCCTGGGACGGCCACCACCAACCTTTAGCTGTACTTATGGTTTGGAAGGTTTTCCAAGCATGCAAAACGACACTTTTGTTCATCCCGAACTCTTCAGCTACACTGGTCACACTATGCCCCTCCTCCAGCTTTTCCATCATAGCCATATTCACGATTCTTCTAGCCATATTTCAAGAAAGAACTCACCTGCACTTGCAGTGAATGTGTTTGATTGCGTCTACGTCCTTCCTTTTATTGTAGACTTGAGTTGAGCCTGCCGACCGCACGTGTTTTGCGTACGCTCACGTCGCCTGTGACGTTTTGTTCCTGACATTTGCATACGTATGAACTTTCTACTGAATTGCGTGTTCATTGTACTCATTGCAAGAACCTCTTTTCTGCAATTTCATGGCTATCTGAATAAAATTTATATTGTTGCTTAAGTTTTGCACACCACTGTATATATCTACGATCAACGACTGTGAAAATAAAGGCCAGGTTAAGGAGGTCTATATTTTTAGTATTATAGTCTATACTTTACAACTGCAAGAAAAAAGGGAGGGTTCACAACTAAATCTTATGGAAGTCCCATATACAAAATTTCAGCGTTTTACGGTTCATTGTTTTTGAGTTATGAGAGATACATACATACACACGTACGTATGTACAGACGTCATGAAAAAATCCCTTTTAAATCTATTTTAAATCCATTTCCGAAAAAATTCGTTCTGTCCATACGTACAGATGTCGCGCAAGAAAGTTGTTCAGATAGATTCAATTACGGATGTCTGATATTTTTTTTTGTGATTTCAATACTCCCTTTACTTCATACAAGGAAATACAAATAACTTGAATTTTGTTTTTAAAACAAGCTCTGAAAATTATATAATACTTTCAGTTAAATGCATTTAAGATTTAAATGTATATTTATTTCCTCTCTCTCCTTTTTTTTTAAATAACTTACAGTAAAGTCCTTAAAGTTGCTTCAGCTTCATCATTTATTTTAGCAAATGTAGGACTCCTGTGTGTCAGCTCTATTGAAAGAAAATAAAGGAAGAAGTTACTACGACACACTTATACGATTACAGTCATGAATAGTATAGTACATTTATATCACAAGTATAAGAAAAAATTTAAGATTTTCAAATACATACATGTACTCAGTTATAATTTAGTCACGTTAAAGAATAAAAGTGCTTGAAACTAAAATCCAATAAATATCTAAAGATTATAGGTCAGTAAAATGTAGCCACATGTTTTGGCAATAATACTGAATGTTTCAAAAGATGGTTTATGAGAACAATGAATAACTTGAAATAAGGATTAAAGCTATGCACATGTCATAATTACGCAGCACTGAGTTTGTAATGAAATGCATTAAATCTTTGATAATATATATTCGTGTTTCAAACTAAAGAATAATAAAGGATATTCATCAAAAATGACAGGTTTGTTAAAAAACAATAGAGCACATAGAAATTGTGCAAAAGCATATTATCTTGTTTAAAAGTTGAATAATACTAGAATATTTTACAGTCAAAAGTCGTTAATCCGGACTCGTCGGGACTCCGGCGATTCCGGATTATCGATCATCAGTTTAAATCTGGTAAGATGGCATGCAGAAGTTATAAAATTAAAAATATGAAACCATAATATATGAAATAAAGAAGAATTATTATCTAAAGGTATCAAAATTTACACACACACACACACACACAGACACACACACAAAAAACAAAAACAAAAAAAAAAAAAAAAAAAAAAACAAAAAAAAAGATTAATATTTATGTTGTGAAATTAACTGAAGTAATAACCGGCGCGAGGCGCTGCTGTTCGTGACGTCAGCCTGCGTGCTGAGTTTTTTCGAATGTTTTGCTTGTAGACGGATGAAAGCTGATCTCGGAAGAGCGATACTGTTTTGATGGAAATAAAGAATGACTTATTAAGAATTTTTTGTCTTTATTCATAATGCACCCAGCCTCGGGTAGAGGCAGGCCCGCAAGTGAACGAACTGTTTTGAATATATTTGATTTATATATTTTCTGTGTTCTTCGTAACAATTTATGTGTTAACTTCATTAAACATTTCTTTCAATGTAAGTTGTTTTAGTTGCTTTGTTTTATGTGCTAATACTTTCTCTCTAATTCTATATAAACAGATATAATTTCTTATTCAGTTACAAAGTTCCGCTGTTCAAGTCCTGTAATTGCTGTGCCGAGAATACCGACTAACTTGTCAATCGTAATGTTTTCATTTTCACTAACCTCTCTGTCACTTTCTTCGTGCCTTTATCCATTTTTTTTGCAGCAATTCCACTTTTTGTTCGATGGACATCGAAACATACTTTCACTTTGTGGATCCTTTGGGAGCTCCAGCATCGGAAATTCTATTTGACATAATCGAAAGTTCAAGCTTACTTTATAAAATTGCTCTAACAGTCTGCAAAAAATAATAAGCTGAATCCAATTCGAAGATTAAGGAACAACGCAATCTGCAACATTAACTGAAATAGATAATTAGATAATTTTAGCTTAGCTTATACGTCCGTTATACATTAAACGCGCATGTGTAAACGTATCATGCGCTTGCGCACACGCATATGCACAGCCGTAAAGGTCTTATGCGCATGCGTAAACGCCTATGCGCATGCGTCAAGGCGACGTATGTGCAGAAATTTTGTAGCTTTGAGGTCCGTATTATGGGTGTCTGAATTAACGACTTTTGACTGTATTACTGCTAAAATAAGACCATACAAAAAATTTTACATCATCCCCATTTTCAAAGCTATAATTATTCAATAGGGTGTGTGATTTCTTTTGCCAGAAAATATACATTTCACAAAATTTTTTCATACTCATTAATTAAACATAAGGGATCTACCATCATTTTTAATAGAGGGATATCCTACATATACTCTTACAACCAAGATGGAAGCAGATGTGCAGAAATTTGCCAATCCAGAACATCCTAGGCATACACAAATAAATTGAAATCTGATGGCTATTCCAGAGCAGCTCAGTGAGGTTAAGCATTGTTTGTTACCTATGGATGACGCTAAACAGCCTCACTTGAATACTGAAAACTTCACCAATATACCTCTGCACAATTATACAATCTCTCTCATAGATATGGAGCTCGGTGCAGCCATATCTCATGATTTCTTTTCAAACAAATAAACCATCAGCACAGAAATTATACCTTTCATGAACATACAATTGACGGTTCCACTGTGTATTTATGAAAGCTATGATGGAATACAATGGACTTTTCAGGGATATACAATGGAATGTGCATTCAAAATAAATGAATATGGATTTATTTATCCATGCACAATATTCAGTCCCATTAATCTTGTTTTCACTAACACTGAATTATAGCTAACACTACCTTAAACATTGGCCAAAGATGATGTAGAATGTAAGACATAGAACTGCATATTATTTAAATACTGCTTAATATTTGCAAAGTAATCAAAATTACTCATTGCAATTTATGTCACGTTGTCATAGAAAGTTATATACCTGCCTTCAAAACATCCTATACTTATGTACAAATCACAAGAAAAATTGCATATAATATTCTAGATGAAAGAGTTACAAATTAATGATAAAATTTTATTTTTCAGACCGGAATGATAACCTGATTACCATTTTTTAATAAAATATCATTTCCCATAAAAGTAATAACTCTTTTGTTGAATAACAATTCATAATAGAAACAGAAAAATATTTTAATGCTAACACCTTTTTAAATAATTAAATTCTTGAGTAAAAGTACACTATGGGATGAGCAAACACATAAAAAACAAAACAGTTAACTCAAAAAAAAAAAAAAAAAAAAAAAAAAAACTGGTTAATTCCATAAACATTTTTCAATCACCATTACTCACTGAATTTCTAAAATGACTTTTACAAACATGTTCACTTTTTGTAGACATTCATATTTGCCCACTCTGTGCTGTGAATGTATTTAACATAAAAATTTATTAATAATTGTTTTAGTAATACATTTAGTTTTTCAAATAACTACTTAAATTCAATAGCTTAAACAATTTTATGCAGTTGTTTTAATGCATATATAATTGCTTTGACCCCTCCTTTAAAAAAAGAAAGAATCCGCTCATCAATACCTTTTGAGTACTTCTATAGACCTTTTGCCATTTCTTTTCACAAATCCAGGTAACTGCATATATTAGATCAAAGCAAAAATCAGAACCTCATATTCCTTTCTCAATTCATTTTATAGCACTAATGTGCAGCAGTAATACATTTTTTCACGACATGCTTTTGACCGTATTTTGCAAATTCTACATAGACAATAAAAAAATTATTATGGCAAACAAGAAAAGATTCCTTTAGAACAGGGAGAAACGAGGTATTTGCATTATAGTCAATGGGGGGGGGGAATGAACTTTCAAGATAAAAAGCAAAATAGAACTTTTACATTTGCAGGGGCGGAGGAACTTAAAATCACTGAAATCAAATTTATGTAATAGTTCACTTACTGCAATCATTCTGTTGCTTATCAGAAAGCTTACTTGAATCAGAAATTCGCCAGATGAACTACTAATTCTTTCTTGTTACTTAATATTTTCTACAGCCTAGTTACAAAGAGTTTGATGAAAAAACGGCAGATGGAGTTATACTAATGGAGGAGGAAATATGATTTTTCCCAATTGCATAAAGGATACAAGATTTCATCCCTCTCCCCTATTCCAATTCACTTCTTCATTCTCTTTTCTTTTTCTGGAGAGGAGAGAAAGCAAAGGTTTCTTTCATTTCTTTCCTTTCCCACTTCCTTTATTTTCTCTATTGCTCTTCTCTTCTTTATTTATTATCTTTCCCTCTTTTCTTAAGAAAAGAGAAGAACAGCAAAGTTGCTTTTCCTTTTATTTTCAATGCCTACTCTGCTCACTCTCTTCCTTATAATTTTTATTAAATCAAGGTATACTTTCTTATATATTTATGTATAAGAACATGTTTAGACTATTTTTTGAAAAGTATAATCATACGGCAGAGATGCCAAATAGAAAGCAATAAAATGACATCACATATTTTCTGTGCGTAACTCGAAATGAGAAGACAATAGTACATAGTGGCCATGAGGTAAGTAAAACAAAATATATTATTTTAAATATAGGAGATTGCACTTCACGTTTAGTGGGGAAATAAATGTCAATAGGTTTATTTTTTTAAAAAAAGGTGAAACGCGTACTCAACGTACTTACACTTCGTAAAAGTGCAAATTAATACATTAAACGAAATTACTTTCGAAATTCTAGGTTACTGAAACTGATCGAATCAGTTTCAAATAAATTTGTTTTTAAATTACAGATGTTATCTACCATCTGTTGAGACAACATCGTTCACTGTTTGAAATGCCGAATTCTTCGGCAAAAGTCAAACCTGGGAACTCTGGTTTCTTAATCAAATGCTCAAGTTATCAGACCGAAAATAGTACATTATAATTTAAGGTAAAGTAAAATCTGTATTTTTCTTCCCCCTCAGCATGCTACTACAGAATTTGCCTTTCTAATGCTCTGTCACATTATGTGATTGAAGTAAAGCCCACTGTAAAGATAGGCATGTGCTAACTAATTTGCCCCACTTGAAATCAGAAGATACTGTTATATTTGAATGACAGGAAGAAGTAAAACTCCATTATCATCACACTGTGGCCTAGTAAAATTTTCAGTTCTACATGAAGACAAAGCTGAATCAGGGCAATATATTGTGACGTAAGAACTAATGCTATCCCTCTGACAAAGTAATTAATAAATTCTAAATGATTTCAATACAGAAAATACAGATAATGGTTATTTATTATTTTTCTTTATAAAAGTTATATGTTATTTGAAAATATCTATTTATAACTCTATTGAATATATAAAATGTACATATCCACGTACAAGATTAGATTATTTTTTGATGATTTGAAATCCTCTTCTGTTCCCCGCAATTCTTCAGAATTCTAGTTTATATTCTAAGTATCATTAAATCATTCGGTTCTACTTCTAATTACTTCTAAATATTAT